AGTGGGTTTACAAGAGAAAGAGGGGATCAGATAGAAAGGTGGAAACCTTTAAAGCTGGGCTTGTTGCGAAAGGTTATACCTAGAAAGAGGGTATCGATTATGATGAAACCTTTTCGCCAGTAGCTATGCTTAAATCCATTCAGATTCTTTTAGCTGTAGCCGCTCATATGGATTATAAAGTGTGGCAGATGGATGTTAAGACGACTTTCCTTACTGGGAACCTTCAGGAAGACATCTATATGCAGCAGCCAGAATGATTCATTGCAAAAGGGCATGAGCACTTAGTTTGTAAGCTTAATCGGTCCATTTATAGACTGAAGCAAGCCTCAAGGTCTTGGAATATTCGGTTTGATGAGGTAATCCAGTCATATGGATTTACTCAATGTCCGGATGAGCACTGTGTATACAAGAAGATCAGTGGAAGCGTGGTGGTGTTTCTTGTGCTATACGTGGATGACATACTTCTTATTGGCAACAACAAGAAGGAGTTGTCGGACGTAAAGGCGTGGTTGTATAAGAAGTTTTATATGAAGGACTTGGGTGAAGCAGGACATATTCTTGGTATCAAGATCATTCGTGATCGTGAGAAAAGAATGATGTGCTTATCCCAGTCTTCATATATAGATACTGTCTTGGCCAGATTCAGTATGCAGAACTCTAAGAGAGGTACATTACCTTTCAGACATGGAGTACCTTTACTAAGGAGTTGTCCCCTAAGACGACTGAGGAGATAGAGGACATGAAGACAGTTCCTTATGCTTCGGCAGTAGGAAGTCTCATGTATGCAATGTTGTGCACTAGGCCTGATATTAGCTACGTCGTTGGCATGGTAGCGAGATATCAGAGTAATCCAGGAAGGGAACATTGGGCTGCGGTGAAACATATACTCAAGTACCTGCGAAGGACTAAGGAGTACATGTTAGTTTACCGTGCAGACAGTTTGTTTCCGCTGGGTTACAGCGATTCTGATTTTCAGTCAGATAGGGACGAGAGTAAGTCAAGTTTGTTCGATTCCGAGAGTAAGTCAAGTTTGTTCGATTCCGAGAGGATTTGATTTGCGGTCAACTGTTCGGGCCAGCCAGATCTACATAAATTTTAAGCAGTAAGTTTTCTTCATCAAACCTTTAGATCCGCTGCGCATAGGTTTATGTTGAATGTTTATCCGTGATTTGTGTATATCGAGATCCTCATGGGTTCCAACACCGGGTTGATTTAGTTCGGCAAAGGATCGTCTCTAAGCAATTGTGGTCACTCTTTGAGATGCCAAGGATTGTATAGATGCAGATGATGGTAGGCAGCGACGGATCAAAATTTTTCATCAGCTAGGACAAAAAAATATTTGAAGAAAATTTTAATCATATTGCACAAAGTACTTATATTTACAATTAAATAAAAACATTGAAGCTATCGGGTCTTGAGATGTTCTCTATTCATCTGTCTTTGACTTGATGTTAAAAAATGAAATGAAAAATAAGGTCTGGTTATTTGATTTCGCATTTTTTTATTTTTAAGAAATATACCAAATATTATTTATAATCCTCTTTCCTTCATTTTTTGTAATATGTTATAAATGAGTCATTTTGAAATATAATTTATTAATTTAAGAATAACTTAAAAGTCATCATTTTTGTTTATGTTATTTTATAAAGAGTTTTTTATGGATTATCTTCTTACATATAATAGTAGAGTCTTTCTTTGTCAACTTCCAATATTTTGTAATTCTATATGTTAATTTCTAAAAATTCTAAATAGTTCATATAGTTATGAGCCTTTATCAAGAACTTTCAAATTTATTCACTTAGCTAATTTAAATTGCAAATATATTATAAAATTTAATAACATTTATATTTGTTATCATCTTTAACATATGATTCATAATTTGACGATCTATAATTTGACATTCATATCGTATGTATATTAAAATAATTATATCTATCTGATCTCTATCAATAAAATTTAAATATTTATCAGCTATAATTAAAAAACAATAAATATACCAATCAAGCCTATATATTTGTAAATATATTATAAAAGTTAATAACATTTATATTTGTTATCATCTTTAACATATGATTCATATTTTGACGATCTATAATTTGACATTCATATTGTATGTATATTAAAATAATTATATCTATCTGATCTCTATCAATAAAAATTTAAGTATTTATCAGCTATAATTAAAAAACAATAAATATACCAATCAAGCCTATTATATGGTATAAGTACTAAAAATATTGTAAAATAAGACCATCGAATCTGATAGGATAAGTGTATCATTTTAAATAAAAAATGATATTATTTTGTCCGAATAATTTAAAATTATAAAATAAACAATTGTATTTATATTCTTACAAATATTAAATATAAATTTTAAGTTAGCACATGTTAGCGATATAAACTGTGTAATTAGCACGAAAAAATCAGCCTAGAAAATTGCTAGGCTAGTCCATATGTGGATCCTTTAGTGACGGTAGTGTTGGGATCTATGAGAGTCGTAGTAATCGTGCAAGGTACGATTAGTCAGAAATAAACCTATGCAAAACATATATATAAGTTAGCATAGAAAATTTAAAATTCTGTAGACTCTGAGAATTCTAGATTTTTCGTTAATGGAGGTCGTCTGATTTTCTACTACTCGGAAATCACCTCGTCAAATGTCTTGGAGTCGCTAGATCTCAATTGGGTCGGCTGAGGTCGCCTCAGGTTATGCAGGTAGTGCGGTAGATGCTGAGCGGCTATCAGGACTGCAACGGGTTGCCTGGACGAGAGTTGGACGCACGAGGATGTCGAGGGGCTCCAGGCACTGGGAGCGGGTCTCGCCAGGAGTAGCGGGTTGCGTGAGAAGGTCACGGGTCTTAGGCGCTGGAAGTGGGTCGCCGATACACTGGGAGCAACGTTCACACGAATTGTTGGGCGTGCGGGACAACAGAGTGCAAGATGAGCTCGTCGGGTCGCGTCAGGCAATGCACGCTGGTCGACAGTGGTCGGGTGCTCGACTACCTTGAGATATTCTATTGAATATCCTAAAACCTTTAGCTTTTAAGTCTAAATTGTATATAACTGAATCTAGTAGGTGGACAAACTCACATAGAAGTTAGAACCCACACAACAAAACGATACACTCACAAACACAAATTATTTAACTCCCACAACTGGAAGTCGTAAAATTTTTGAGTTGGGTGTAAAATCAAAGAAAATAGCCATTGTTATCTCACAATTCGACAATGTCGGAAAATCCGATTCAGCTCCTCTTCCAAGCGATTGGTAAGGTCTCGGAGTGTGTGCAGGGCCATCTCTCTCAGTTTTTACTTCGTCCCGGCGGCCCTTCACTGTCACTCGTCAAAAACCAGAGCTCCAATTCTAATCTCCGACCGGCCGAAACCCGTGCAAAGGTCGCTCTTTTTTCAGCTCCCTCTTTGTAAATCGCTGCCGAATGTTGTACGGTTGTACTTATCCGGTGATTTATGTCTTTGCCCTTGAAGCAGAATGAGCTTCTGGCTGATGTTTGTCAAGTGTTTGATAAAATGCCTGAGTGAACTTTTTTTCCCTTTTCTTTTTAATTTTTATATATTTGTTTATTTAGTTTCAATTTCAGTGGAGAGCGGAAATATAAGGAAGTTAAGGCTGTTGTTTTATTCAATTTTCTTAATCGTGTATTTTTTGTTTTCTTTTGAATGTCTTTTGCTTGTGGGATGTGCGTTATATTGGTCTTTTTCTGTTTAAACTGTATTGCTTGTGAGCTTCATTGATTTAATGTGGAGTAGCTATCTACTTCTTGTGAAATGTTCTTAACTGGCAGCTCATATTTTGTTCATATAATCTAGTAAGCATTAAGATATTTCTGCTATAAAAACGGTGTTCGTGTAGCGCAATCAGCACCAGTAAATCACTAAACTTGGTCGCTCGTACTTGCATATGAGCATAAAAGAAACATTTATTTTTGATTCATTGGTAAATATCATGTATATCCATGGCAAAACATCACCATGATGCTTCGGTGTTTATGTTTCTTGCTTTCTTTTATTTATTTGTTTATTTTATTTTCTGGAACTTTATTTATGTTCAGGTTGAGTCGTCCAGTCCAACCACAAAAGAAGAACTTGGAAGAGCCACCTGGACTTTTCTTCACACTCTAGCTGCCCAGGTTCTTTTATAAAGTTCCTTCTTTTTCTGTTTCATCTTTTTTTTTAGAAACTGGACATTGTTGATCATCTATTTCTTTCCTTATTTATTTAGAAGGTCATTAATATCCGAATCTTTCTACCGTGCAATAGAATATCTTTGCATTGCATTGGCAATGTCCTTTGATATGTTCGGCTGTGATTTCATTTTTTATAAGTATGTAGTGTTGCTCAATCATTGCTGATTGTCAAAGCTGTTCTCTATTTTTCTCAGTATCCAGATAAGCCGACTAGGCAACAGAAGAAGGACGTAAAAGAACTGGTATGATTTGCTTTGCATGGTTTGGCATGCACATTAAAAGAGGATTTTTTTTTTCTTTCTTTTTTCGTATCTGTGATTCATCATGTTTGTTACGAGGAATGTGTTGATTCAGCAAAATCAGAGTGTTTCTTTCTTAACCCCATTTTATTTTTTCGGCTTTTTAATCAACTTTTCACTCGTAGCTTTAGTTTCTATTATTTTTCTAGTGCAGATAACAATATTGTCTCGTATGTATCCTTGCAAGGAATGTGCAGATCACTTTAAAGAAGTTATTAGGTGCTTGCCACTGTTCTTTATTTTCTACCCTTTTCTTTTATCTCTTCAATTTTATGCAAATCTTAGTTATCTCATCACCCCTGCAAAGTGTAGAATTTTACTACACGCGCAATAAAAATAACAGTGTAAATCACTTTACCTTGTATGCATTTCCATTTGGACTGTTTATTATGACGTTTCTATAATCCAAAACGCAATGCAGAGCAAACCCTGTTGAGGTTGGATCTCATCAAGAATTTTCCCGATGGTTATGTCATGTACACAATGTGGTTAATCGAAGGTAACCTTCAAAACATTTCATTTTTCTAACTCTAGCATCCGTTAGAAAACTTTTTTATTTTTTTATTTTTTTTTCTAAGTATTTTCTTTAAAAAAGGAAATTTTTATTGGTGTTTGTTTGCAACAGCCTAGGCAAGGTCGTGTTTCCCTGTGAGCGAGTCGATGCACGTTGGGGAAAATTAGAATGTGAGCAAAGAGCTTGTGATTTAACAGGGAGTTTGATGGATTTTGACGACAGTCTAAAATGAAGCAGGTATTATATTATTATTGACATTTTTTTTTTCTCGATTTCTCATTCGTTCGAACCTAACTAATCCTCGGATGGATTGATTGTATTTGGTGTCAGCTCATTGATACATACAATGTGTGCTGTGAAAGAAAGAAAAAAATGGTTGATGTTACGGGTGTTAATACGACACTATATTGTTGTAGTCCTTATTTATGTTTTTCTTTTGGTAAGAGTTTGTTAATATTTTTGAACAAGATTAGGTAAGAAAACTAGAACGAGCTTGGATACAAATATATCTGCCCCAAACGAGTTTTTTGGTTAATTATGGTTAATTTTGAAAAAGATAGTATGATTAGTTGTTAATGGGATTTTGAGTATATAAAAATAATATTCAAAATAAAACAATTAAAGTCTATGTAAAAGAAATATCTAGTTAAAATTATGTGAGTAGATGAATAGTGGATATAAATTGATGTGATGTGTAAGAATGATTGATTAACATTATTTAATCATATTGATAATAATGAGGACTGTTAGGTTGAGTTAAACTTGAGGTAAATTTTCAGTATGAATTGAGTTATTTTATATACAAATACGCTCTGAGTTACATGATTTGATATGAAATCATCTAACCAGTCACAACCGGTTAAAATTGATCACAACCGGTTAAAAAATTGATGATGACTCATATCCAATCGCACCCTTAATTGTCTTGTTAGCATCGAAGTATAAACCATTTTCAATAGAGACAAAATCAATATTGAAATTAATCAAAACATGAGTTGACATTAGTTCAGCTACTTTTTTACCGGTGGTTTGTTCTGATATACGCTAGAACTACAAAATGTCGGTTTCCAACACAAACCAGAAATTTGAAGATTCAGGTTTTGAACCGAGGATTCATTAAATTCATATCCTTTACCTGGATTGTATGCTTAAACTTCAAGTTTCAAATTCAGAACAATCTAAGGTCATCTTAAGTAGGTTGTTCGCCCATTTTTTACATCGAACCAAATTACTATTCAAAAGAAATTAACCCATTTCAAATAGATAATCTATTTTGATGTCCATTAGAGTTTTATTTTTATTTTTTATTTTTTGTTTCGGAATGATAATACTTTTATAGATAAAACACAAATGTAAATCTAGAAACCAACTCAGCAAACAACTACAAAGCCGAACTTAATGAGAGGACTGATCTAAAGATTGTCTAGAAACTACACTAGAACGAAACTAAACAACACACCTACAACCTAAAAACAAAAACTACCCTTCCCTCAGCCGACAAGCCACACCAAGCAAAATACGACGGCAACACCCACAACCGACCACCCATACAGATCGGACCACGACCCAAGTTGTAGCTTCAGAAACTGCCTAACACGCCTAACTGGAACTGAAACCGAAGAACAGACCCCAGACCCGCAGCCGGAGGAATACCAAACAGACTTCACCTACACCACCAACGCCCCAAACCCATCCCACACCCACTGACCAAGACCTGGCCATGCAGTCATCCCCTCAGCCTAAACACTAGGGGAAAAAGGGGACACGTGAGAGAAAGCCCACCGATCCTTTGCCCCGACCACCACCACAAGGGTAGTCGGAGCCACAACCACCCCCGCTAGCACTGTCAAACGGGCCGGTGGCCCGCGGGCTGGC